TTTTTTTAAAGTCAATTTTTGAGCTAGAATGCTCATCTTCGAACTCGATGTGTCTTTTAATGATACAAAACGACCCTAAAATTCCCAGATCGCTCTATCAATTCTTTCTCGAATTATCGTGCGTACAGACAGACAGACAAACAAACAAACAAACAGAATGAAACTTTTCCGGTCAGTTGAGTTATGGGCTTCGCTAATCGCTCAGCCAATGAAATTTGTCGTATTAAAATTCACAGTGTAGGTCCGTATGTTCTAAGGTTTCGGAATAACATGACATTCTACCATGAAGCATGTAAATAAATCTTTGCCATTACCAATTCTTATTTTGAATTGGTAATGTCCGTACGGCAAGACTGGGAAATTTGGGAACGTCCAATCGATCGGTTCTTGGTTGACTACGTAAACACCCTGGAAGAATTTTAAAACATGGATTAACTCAAAACCTCAAAACATAGCCTGCTTAGTAGGCTATACAGGTGGGTAGAACATTCACCACGCAATATAGGCCTGTGGTAGAGCCTGTGGTGCAGCAGCCTGCCTACTTACAGCAGGAATAATGCACGGGGATTTAGGCGCCTTGCCATCCTTGTCGAACACTACGTGATAAAATCCGGGTATATGTGATGAAATGATTGAGCATGCCTTATCTTTGAAGTCAAAAATAAACGCATTTTCTTTCCATTGGTTATTATTCCGAACATCCAGGTTTACTCTCACCTGTAGAAAAAGTCACACTAACTAGCTATATGTACGCCAGACCACGTCTCGCGTAACAGGCTTAGCGAAATCTCACGAAACACTGTTACGCTGCGACGCGCCTGGCGCACATATAGCTAGGCCTGCGGCGCTGACACCCGAGACGGGGTAATAGGAGTGTATATACAATTTTTCGAAACGAAGTCTTTTCAACGATTTAATCGATCATTTGATCATTTTTACCTCATTTTTGTCAAGAAATGCGCCCTAGCGTCGAAACGGTACAAGATAGAGCGAAACGGACGAAATTTTCGCCCTAAGGGCTCTACTTTCACGAGTTACCCAGTAGGAGACCATAAAAAAATATTTGAAAAAAAAATATTTTGTTACCTGCGGTTTTTGATTTTTTAAAAAGTCAATTTTTGAGCCAGAGTGCTCATCTTTGAACTCGATCTTTCTTTTTATGATACAAAACGACCCTGAAAATCCCAGGTCGCTATCTCAATTCTTTCTCGAGTTATCGTGCGCACAGACGGACAGACAGACAGACCCCGCATGGAAATAAGTATATCCAAATGACACTTTTGGGTATACTTTTGCAACAAGTATACATTAGGTATACTTAAAATATAGCAGATTGGAACCGCAACACTTTGGTGGCACTTTAGGCAAACTTTTTGTATACTTTTTGTATACTTTTTTTACACTTTTAAGACACTTTGGCGTGCCACTTTTTCAGCTCTTTTTTTCCGTGCGGGACAAACAAACAGAATGAAACTTTTCCGGTCAGTGGAGTAATGGGCTTCGCTAATCGCTCAGCCAACAAGGTAGATGTACACCAGACCACGTCTCGCGTAACAGGCTTCGCGATATCTAACGAAACACTGTCACGCTGCGACGCGCCTGGCATACATCTACCTTGGCCTGCGGCGCTGACACCCGAGTCGGGTAGTGGGAAAATGTACACAAAGGTACGGGCCTACGGCCCGCCAACGGCCCGCCAACGGCCCGTATCTTTGTGTACATACTGCCACTACCCGACTTTGGTGTCAGCGCCGCAGGCCAAGGCAGATGTATGCCAGGCGCGTCGCAGCGTAACAGTGTTTCGTGAGATATTGCGAAGCCCGTTACACGAGACGTAGTCTGGCGTACATCTACCGTGTAAATTTAATTTTACTAAATATGAATTAAATTGTACATTTCTATACATGGAATTGTACATTTTTATGCAAGAAATTGTACATATTTGTGCAATTAATTGTGCATTCATACGCTCTTTACATTGTACTTTTCTTTTGCACAATTTACCCCCTACATGATTTTTCCCCTGCCGCGCCGCGCACGCGGACCCGCTGTCGGGGGTAAATTGGCGCGAAAGTGACAAAGTCCTAAAATCCAATCTTGCACATTGCTCCCGACATTACAGCACCGTCCGCGCGACGTCGCTGGAAACTCCTCGACGTGTATTTTCATTGAAACTGCGTTCTGGCATACCGATTTTGGGAACACCCTACCCCTGGAGGATAGCAGCCAGGTACCCACGGTGCGGCGGCTAGGTAGGCAACCTTCCGTACTGCGCGTGGCATCAGAATCTGCCCTATTCGAGAATGACTACGCGTCCGCGACCACGTTCACCGTGCAGCATCGAACTGCCTTGGCCGTTTAGAGAACCATCCAGAACCACAGCTTCCCGGGTTCGATTCTCGGACGAGGCGCCGCAATTTGTGCGACGTCACACCCACACACCACTTCAATTTAGGATGTGCACAGGATTACGTGATTACAGGGATTTCACGTGAATTTTAGAGGATTACACATGAATTGTGTTCAAATAATGGCTCTAAGACCATTAAATTTGGACAATAAGGTGAAACTCAGAGGTAACTAACTGTCGGAAATTTGGTCAAGTATTACAGGGAATACCTAAGGATTACATAGGGATTACACCTGCACCTGTGTACACAGGATCACGCGAGTGGTGTGGTGGCTCCCTCGCCCCCAACCGACCGGCATCCCCACGCCACGCCACGTGCCACGAGAGGGAACCCCCACCACCACGGTAACGCATCCCCACCACCATCACCACGGACCTCAACTCCTCGCGACGGACCCGCCACCCATCCCCTGGCCAATAGGCAACCGCCACTGAGAGCCACTACTGTACTAGTACTGTACTGTACTAGTACAACTACTTTTGCTCAGTCATGGGTTTCGTGCCAACATCGTTCAGTGGAAAGTTTGGCTGCAAACCGAGAAATGTGTTCATCACTGGTACAGTGTTGATCAGTGATGGTTAAGGGGTTATTAACCCTTGAGATGGCAGAGTAAAAACGACCCCAACGGGTTCGTTTCAAATAAGGGCATGTTTTATCGTGCAGTGAGCCAAGCCAAAGACAAATCTGATCAAAGAATAACAATATCTTACCCAGGCGCTATCGTCTATTGATATTGAACCAGACATATTTCCACTAAGGAGTTGCAATTGTTTCGGTTTCTGTGGATTGTAGTGTGTAACTCTCAAATTCCATGACCATGCGCCCGCCGCTTTTTCGCACTGGTAAAACTTATCGGCGTAAGATAGGAATGGGCCCTGAAAAGAAGAAGTTTTTACTGCACAAAAAATGAGATCGTGGATTCCGGCGAGGGTAACGAATTTGCGTCGTCTATGTTCTCCTATCCGATGGTACAGTAGCCACTCCGATAGAGTCCACTCCGAGGAGAAAACTACTGCACGGTAAAAAATAACACCCAGAATTACCACAAAATCTCCCGTTAATATTTTCATTGACTCCGTGTTGTTGTAGAACAACAAAAGTTGTTGTAGAACAACAAAAGTTGTTGTAGAACAACAAAAG